AGTTGCATGGGCAACCCTGAATTGAAGTGACTAGAGCAAATCTTCAAAAAATAATAGAGAGATCAGATTTGACTTCCACTACTGCTATTGCTATCATTTACTATTAACCAGATAAGTTTCATTTATCCAATCAAACAATTGGATGCAACTGCCAGATCAAATAGTGGTAGTGGAAGTCAAATTTGAACATTTCTATATGGATTTCAGAGAGACCAGTTATTATTTGCTGATATATTATTATAACTTGTATAATTAAAAGCTACAGTAACTATATATTCATTTATGATATTGAAAATTGATATATAATTATCTATAAAGTGAGAATAATTTTAAACATAATTATAACATAAAATTATTCATGCATGCTGGCGATTGAATAAACCATACGGAGTGTTCATTCTGAATCTCTATAAATTCCTTGACATTATTTTTCCAGTACAGTGTAAAACTATGCAGATATTAGGTTGCATGTCCTCCAGTGTGCTGAAATACCATCCAGTGACCCGGTCTTGTTCATTGTTACTTGCATCTTGCTTAATTCAACTGTTTTTGCCCCATTTTGTACCCATAAAGTTTGTTTCAATAATCTAGAAAACTTCAAAATCATTCAGTAAATTTAATTTAAAAATTTGGTGAAAGGGGTCAATAGATGAAGAAATCATTTCTTCTTGTTAATTCATACATATGGTCCCCATCTCTGTCAGGTGTTAGAGTAGAAATTTATTGAAGCCTTCAGAAAATAATTATGGCAACAAGGTTACATGTCACACTGCAGAGTTAGGCATTTTTTTTAAAGATCTCAAGGGCACAAAAAGTATAACTGTAGGGGCAAGGGAACAAAATAATGAAATTTTGAGATTCGGTGGCAGGTTTTACGGTGGTGTGCTGAACCTTTTCCCTAAAAAATCCCTGACCAGCAGGAGCTAGTTGTCATGGATATTAAAAATTATACTCAATAACTCACTAACATTAAATAATGCTGAATAAATGCTGAAACTGATGTTTGACTATTGAAATATCCTAGGTTGATCAGATTTTAGCTTTGTCAACCTGGCCACTCTGTTATTACACTAATGGCTCATTTAAATAATTTCAGGTCATTAAATGTAAATGTAAAAACAAAGTATTTGAAGTTAATACTGCTGTAAACTGTAGTTTAATACTGTAAGTGTAAACACGTTTAAAAAATCAATATTTTAATAAATCAATATTGTAAATAATAATCATGTGAGAGTAGAACTTTACTGAGAGTCTGAGCATAGTTTTATAGGCCATAGTCTGGCCATATGTTTCTCAATATTTAAACTACAAATTCAGATAACTATATTAACGTACCGTATAAAATATATTAAATAGCCTTCGAAATATATATTTCATAGAGCTAGTCAGTGTAACAAATAAATTGGGAATCTGCTAAATAATTTGTAACAATAAAATACTTCTAAACATTTTCAAATTCATATTGTACCTTTTACTTGATGGAAATCATCACAAATTAGTATGTACGTAGCCTGTGAGATTGGCTCCAATATTTTCCTTCGAAATTCGAAACATCGCCTCCTCGGCGATTTATATGATGTGATATAAAAGAAGATTGATGTACATTGGACGTATATATAAACGTAACATATTAAAAAGAAAGATTACAACAAAAAATAAAAGAATATAAATAATCCGCGGCAATTCAAGTTCTATTCGTGAACTTTTCGTCGCCCCCCTGTCTTTATTTCCATAAAGCCCGCTCGCAGGCTAATACTCCAAGAATCTTGGAGTATTTGCCTGACACGTGACCAGTGTTTACCAGGGCCTCGCCACTGAGCTATACTTAATATATCTGGAGATCGTGCTCCAATACCTCGTCAGTCAAAAATGTGTGACCAAAAACATGGCAGATTTTGGCCAAATTTACGTCATTTTGATGTCACAATCGACCTAAATTTATGGTGAACACCACTGACCTTAAATACTAAAGTGAAGAAAAAAGTTATTCACACTCCCCCCCCTCCCC